AAAGATAATCATACTTTGTCTTAGAGTTTTGTAAAGCTCAAAGACTCAACTTTGAGAATATGAAACGGTTTTTTGGAAAAAATTGCGTAAATTATGTGTAAATTCAATTTAAAACAAAAAAGAATTTTTCCTATGTTAATTAAATGGGAAACTAAAATAAAACTAGCGACCCCTTAGATTTGAGCTATAGGGCTCATGATTGGCGAGGATATTTTTTACAGCAAATAGAAACATTTGAGGGGGTAAGAGTTAGAAAAAATTAATCAAAATTTTGTTTGAAGCACCCTAATAACCATCCAGTACGAAATCGTAGTTTATTTAGTCCTTATTAGAAAAGTATTTTAATGCCCTTTTCGCGAAAATCACTTGAAGGTCTTTATAAAATCGATTTCTTAGCCGTAAGGGAATGTTGCTTTCTTCCCTCAAATCGGGGAATAATACCGTACTTTCGGTAGGTTATGCTATAAGAAGTATTTTACAATTAAAAAACCATATGGTCTTATTGGGCCGCGCCATTCAACTCCGTTTTCAAGATCATTTGTCCCGCGACCATCTGGAGCAAGAAGTGAGTGAATCATTCGATTTTTTCAACAGAACGAGCGCCTGCGGTGACGTAATCATTGCACTCCGGTCTACTCCACTTGTTGTGCAACGTACTAAAGCCAAAAAAGGATTTCCTTTCGGGCTAGCAACGTCTGGATCAACAATGTCGCCGCTGTCGAAGTCGATTTAATAGTGGGAGCCCCGACATACAATTGCCTTGGGGGTGACCTCTCCACCTCGACGTCGTCGTCGTTGTTGGTGTCTTGTCGTACCGCGATTCGTGTTTATTACCTACCTACTCACTCGCTAAGTGAAAGACAATCGTGACATCGTATCTTATATTATTTTGTCATAGGTGGTTCATAGTTCGGTCAGCTACCTGTCGCGAATATAATATTTTATTTACTTTTTTTGTTACCCATGACTACTACTCCTGTAAATCCCATATAGACGTGACACGTTCGTTTACATTGCAACATTGGAGCAATCGATTCACCTAGTTTATACGCGGAATTTATGACATACTTTTCCGGGACACGGGAGTCTCAAACGTACTCATTCCTGACACGGACAAACAAGGTAAGTGTTCCTTTCTTACGCCACCCACATATCTTTATTGAAAATTTCTACAATAGCAGGTTTTCATGTATTTGTCGTGCTAGGAAAATGCTGGAAGAAATTTATTGTAACGGGTGCAAAAAACATACAACACTAATTAAACTCCGACTGAATTTTTATTAATCAAAACGATTCCAACCATTGCAATTACCGAATCATGCAGTTTCACAAAAATTGCATTAACAATAGTTTAAGTTGTATTTTCTTTAATGTTGCATTTTTGAAAATTAAGAATATAATCCATGTTATCCTCTTCACAAAACGGTCCTTTTTCTGTATTTTATAACTTAGTCAATAAAATACGACAGTCTCTCCTGTAACGGTAATCCTTTAATATAAAACGATTTTCTAAATCTGCAATCTTTTCATAAAGCATGAGTTTTTCTGTAGCTCGATTTCAGCCGAAGAAAAAAAACGGATTAGGCATCTATGTATAATCAAAGAAACGCAAGGAACCCAGTGATATCAAATCCTTGTGTATTAATATCCAAGACTTTACTGGTTTAATGTGTTTACGTAAATTTATATCAACATGGATTACGTTAGCATTACGTACATGTATCTAATTGTACCTTCGCGATTATGATAAAACCCAAAGCGCTTTTGAATGTGAAGGATAAGTAATATGTATTGCTGATAAAATATATTTTCATTAGTAGTGAATTCCATGTTTTATGCTTGCAATGGTGATTGCATTAAGAAATTTTAGGTTTAAATAGACATATCTGGTTTAAATTGGGCCAAAACATTGAAAATTCTAATCCTTATTTGAAGGTATGGCGAAAAATGAAAATAAATCGTGTCGATAAATTAATAGTAAAAATGAAAAAACCAAAACAATGTAGACGAAATTGGAGCAGTTGTGCATTTTTAACACCAATGTTACGATAAATATTAAACATTTGTTTCTCTCTTTCCATCTTATATTCTTAAAAATTACATCTGGTAAGAGGAACATTACATATCTACTATGTGCACAAAATTCGAGTTATTTCACTCAAATATGTACCGATTATGATGAATAAGGAACAATTTAGAAATATGTGTCTTAATCAAATGCAGATACGTGGGCGCTTCGCGGAATGAGTAGTCTACCCCAAATTTGACCAATCGAAGTAATCTGAAAACTTACCAAAACTTATTATTTATTTCTTTTTTAATAATAAGTAATAATAATAATCTTAAACACCTTTGAAAAAAGTTAGAGTAACGAAATAGCTTAAAAAGATTATCGGATTTTATCTTTACAGGTAAGTTTTTTTTTTCAAGATAACGTCTGATTGTAAATTCTGTATGGCTTTCGCGGCCGTTGTCCAACATGCTATTGATTTTTGCCCTTACTGAACGTTAGAGAAAAATCTCCAGACGACGGCCAACAAACCCAAAAAGCAATAGCACAATGTTTTGTAGAAACACCTGAGCAATTATCGAGGAATACGTTTTTGTGTTATTTTCTATAATAAAACCTAAATCATTAGTGCAATTAATTGGGAAAATAATGACATGAAATGTGAGAGAAAATTTTACGTACTTAAGTTAATTTAGGTTATTTACTAAATGCAAGACTTTACCGCCCACATATGTATCATTCGAAATATAGACACACCCTGTATGTAACAGGACTGATTGCGTGCTTTTCAATAAAGTACTGCTCACGCTCCCAAAAACTTATGCTTTAAGAACTCGATATTTGTTGACTAACGAACAACTCTCGATGATATTGAGCGCTACTAATGGAGGAATATAACCATCGGTTCCAATAACTTCTTTTCATTTTATTAATATTTTCGTAACTGTGTTAGAATTAAGTACCTATAAGATCTTTTGTGCTAAAGACAGCTGTGAGTGAAGGCTTGTGTACGTGTTACAAATTAGGGCACAATAAAGAGAAAAACTACCCACATCCGACACAATATTAAATAAGGTATGACAAGCTGGGAAGGCGCTGCAAATACTGGTTAAGCTTTATGCCCGTTTCTTACCTTATGTTTTATATTCTTGTAAGCACCCGACTAAAAATAAAAAAAATTGTAACACCACCGAATCGCCTCCAAATATCTGAAATGACCTAAACCTAATTCCTACAAATTAGACGAAAATTTACCATAAACTCTAAAATTATAATCAAAATACTACCCTTTGAAACTCTAAAACAGCTCCAAACTAGCACCACGTTAAAAAAGATCCGAAAGAGCCCTCAAATAGCGCCTCGCCAAAACACATACTACAATACCATCAAAACAGCATCTAAAAGAGCACTAAAACGTGCCGTATAATAAATAAATTATATATCCCTTATCGTGTTCTAGTTTAAACATCTTCAACAAATTAAGGGAAGGTTTGGGTATCAGATCGTTTTTTAAAGTTTCTTTCGCACTAAACATGAGCACATTAGAATAGTACATTACGCTTGAGCATCACGAGAGGAAGATACGGAATTTCCTCCTGAAGTGACTTGCAACAAAAACCGAGGGCTACGGCGGAAAACTCCCGGTAGGGGATGCCGTACTTATTTCCTTCCGAGTGCGGTTAATCTTGATTTCAGGTAGGAGAAAATGCAACATAACCATTAGGGTGCTTCAACTCTTACGCCCTCAAATGTTTCTATTTGATGTAAAAAAAATCCTCGCCATACATGAGCCCTATAGCTAATACTAACTAATAGTTTGATTAAAAATTTTGAGGATTATGCAAAAAAAATAATTGCAAGCTATTTTTTCAAATTTCAAAATTAAGTAATTTGTAAATGGCTGTAACTAGTCTTTTTGTAAAGTTAATCATACTTTGTCTTAGAGTTTTGTAAAGCTCAAAGACTCAACTTTGAGAATNAAATTATAGCCAAAATACTACCCTTTGAAACTCTAAAACAGCTCCAAACTAGCACCACGTTAAAAAAGATCCGAAAGAGCCCTCAAATAGCGCCTCGCCAAAACACATACTACAATACCATCAAAACAGCATCTAAAAGAGCACTAAAACGTACCGTATATAAAAATGAAAATATTGATTAATTATACCAATTTATCCATTAGATATTTAAATTTTTATTAATTAATATTAACACATACATACATATTCATCTATGATTACATACGTTCATTTTTGCTATTTATTTTACTTTCGCTGGTATTTCAGTAGCTTTCTGGAAAGAAAACGGTACTGAATCCGTGTTCTTTTCGTATTAAATGCGGTACTGTTTCAGTTCTCCATTCGTACACAATCGGCGGTTTAGTCCTACAAAAGGACCTTCTCCGGTAATATTTTACATAAATTTTTGGAGCTAGTTTGGTCGTAATTCGATAAAATGAAATTGAAAAGAATAATTTTACTCGAGCAAGATGAAGGACATGAGACACTTCGTTTGTGTTGTCTTTTCTACCGTAACTTTACAATCCGAACATAACTGAACATTAATCGAAAAACGCTTACTAATATAACGCAGGTTTATTAGGCGATACAAAACAAGAATAAAATTTGTAAAAAGTTACGGTACGGGTTATACAAATTTAGTTTTTTGTCTATTTTTTTTAAACCCGTCGAATTTATTACAACATACATATCCACATTTAATCTGGAGATAATTATAGAATGATTTTCCCAATCAAGTATTCTCTTAGCTACTAATAATAGGCCATTTAAAAATCCCCACTGTTTTTGAGAATCGAATTTTCATGTTGGCATCGATTCACGTTTGTTCTCAATCTAATATTCACAAGACCGGAAAATGATACGCAATTAACTACATTTGCTAATTCAGTTACGGAGAATCTTAATGTCTATAGTTAATCATATCACGTTAACAAGTCTCGTTAAATCAGTAATTTTATTTAACAAGGACGAAGTAATTGATCGTTTCTTTGAAACGTTAATTGCCAATCAATAACCTCAATGCATCTCTTTTGCATTCAATATAAGATGGTAATGCAGTACCTACATTATACCAATGTATCCCGAATGCAAATTATTGTTACATTCGTAAAGGATTATCATCTTTTGTTGGGCTACAATATAATGGAGCTACCATTCCAGATTTTCAATTTCTATTAACGTCAAACCAGTCATATTATTAAGCATTAAGGTGCGTATACACCTGAGCACGAACACGTTCGAAGGAAAGCCTCCGTCTGCCCCGAGACTTTTTGAACTCCTTCTGTTCAGGTCGGTACTTCAAAGAGAATTTGATTAATATGTCTATGTCACTCGCCATTATTTACTAAATGAATATGAGTTAAAACAGAATGCGGCACATGGCCGCATTCGTTACCTCCAACATGTTCGTGTTAAACTGTATACGCACCTTTATATGGCTTTATACCACGTTCAAAAGTTACCCTACGTCAACAACATACACTGTACGAATTAATCCAAAAAGTAACAACAGTACAATGAAGCCACCCTTATAATATAAGAAATCCACACGGACTATAAAATACGTGCGAAGGAGGACGATTGTCTGCATAAATTTTTTTATTTGCGCTATGGGGAAGACCTATTTAAGAAAAAAGTATGTGAATTTTGCTTGACGTATTTAATGGCTGTTTCCAGATAAGCTATATCTAGGAATTGTACGTCACATCGTTTTAACATGAAATGAATTAACACTGTGGTGTCCCATTTAATCCTGTAATTCCAGAAGTGAGGCATGAAAAGCTATCTGAAGATAGACATAGTTGAAAATATACATTTCACACACGTCCATCGAATTTTATGCACTTTCGTTCGTGCAACATAAAAAGCAAAAATGTCAATAAAAAAAATGTATAATTTCTATGTTCGCTGAACATTTTATAGCCTTAGCTATATATCTGAACGTAAGCTATAATTAAGTATATGTGCTGCAATATGTAGTTAATACGTAATCTAAGACAGTGTAAAACACAAAATATGTTCCGTTTCTGTATGTCATTAAATCCATTAATCCACATGCAATTTCTTGACAATTTTACTACCTATATTGATTT